TGACTCCTATTATGTGTGTATGTCGGTGAATTTTACGAGTTTTCCATTCAACAAACATTCCATGATAATTTTCCAATATTTTTCCTTGACGAGGAAAAAATATGCAAGTGCAAAGGCGAAATCGAGTTTTGATCTCCTTGAAGGAAGAAAATCCCAAAGTACAAAATGAAACGAGTCGATTCTTTTCTGTCTTTCTTTCCGAAATTTTAGACTTGATTAAAACAATTGTAGCTTGACCCTGCGTTAAAAACCATACAAACCGTGCACTCCCCATTAGATAGATGATAGATTAGCTAATGCTTAGGTGTAGTTAGGATTTACAAAGTGCATTAAAATATTTCAACTAAGGCCTAACAGTCGCCGAACATATTTTGGAATCTTTTCTATTCTGGTAAGATCTGTTTCAGCATCAATAATTTTTAGTGAGTTGACGTGCCTTTTCTCAAAAAAGAAGTAGACTTTTGTCTGAAAGCTCAATGCAAGTTCTCTACTTGTTTTCTGCTGTCAGTTTACTCTGTAGTTTTTTAATCAGTTTGATACCATGAAATCGTGAAATACACTTTCTTTTACAAATTTATGGCATAGTTTATTTCCTTAAAGGCCCTACGTGCTGGCATTTCGGTTATATATCCACGTCAAGTCTTCATGATGTATTAAACATACCGTTATCAGTTAGAGCACTAAAAATGTTTATATGATAATTACCTATAAACCGTAATATTTATTGGTGACGATATTTTTATTTCGACCTCAACAGTTTAACTTCTGATTGTCCTTCTAGGATAATAGGCCATCTCAGAAAATTTATTGGTGACATGTGGTTTGGTTATCCTAGTTTGCAGTTCGACCTTTTCTGCGGCTTTCATGTGTGTATTAATTTATCATATTCATTAAGAAAAGTTGAATTTTTTTTCAAATTGAAAGGCTGAAAATCGTCTGACAGGCCAAAACAGCGAGCCGCCAGACCAGGATGAACGTAGACGTACAATCAACACGGTTAGTGCCGTATCTTGGAGTATGTGTATTCACTCGGCTTTCCCTTCACGAGTGATTTCTAACTTCAACTGCTTGGATCTCCGCTCCGGGAAGATTGAAAACACGTGTCCCTTGGGTTTTCTTAAGGAGTAATTTGCTCCTTTTACCCCTGCTGTCAGTCCTTTGCGGCTATTTAGTTGACAGTATATCGCCTCTTCTTCACCTCCATGAATATATGCTTCAATTTTCCTGATTTTTAATGGAGGATGTTTTTAACTTTTCCTGAAAAACATTTCTACGAAAAGCTCCTCTAAACTTAACACTGTCCCAGATTTTCGGGTAACGTCCGACGATGAATTTTTTAAGATTTCCTGCTCCAGCCGTGAAGCCCCACTCTTATCAGCCTTTTGTTTCAAAATGCCTTGCACTGGCCGTTACATGTTCACATTGCTAAAACTGCTGAATTAAATAAGTCGTAAAACTTCTTTTATTGGAATTGTTTCACTAATTTACTCAAGTTGTAAATCTAATTCTAGAAAATTATGCGTGACATTATGTCCAAATCGGATATTTTTTCCTGGTTCCCTTTATGTTTATGAATTTTTATGTCATACTTGGAATATATAACCAACAGGTCGGCTTTTAAGTCGACGTTTCGATAATTTGTGCAGAATTCTTTTCTATAAATCATATTTATTTATTTAACGATTAAACCCTGATCGCTGTACATAAAACCACGAAGCGGTAAAGTGGAGAAGGTTTGTGAGGCAGATGTGCCAATATGGTTGTAGTAAACCCCATCTTCAATCCAAATGTTAGTTGCTTATAAATTATAACAAAACTATTCACGAAATAACAGTTATCAGCTATCAACCAACAAAAGAAGGATAATTTTTTTTACATTACTTTTTTTTTGTACGAGGGTTCGCAACAGTAGAGGTCATATAAACCCTCAGTGTGCCGGTGTTTTTGAAAAAAAAAAAACATTTGTGAGTATGTCGGGTTCGAATTCAGGGCCGTTGGATTCGAACCAGATCCCTTTACCTTACAGTGATGAGCGCCGTGTCAACGCCTATATCGACGCCCCCTGGCATTACCATTTGTTCAAAACTTAAATTAGATGCATTACGATTTTATCATTTGACACTGTTACATATATCTTGAGAGGAACCAGCAATCATTGTTGCTCTACCGACTTTTGTAAATAGTTACATAGATACAATGGTAAGAAATGTTGGGCGTGGAAACGTGGAAAATTTGTTGGGGATTAGGTTTTTAACTAAGGATATTTAGAGGTCATTGTGAATAATAGCGGTGATAACGTAGTAGGGAGTAATGAAGGTTATGAGGACTTTAGATTGGAAGGACTTTATTTTTTGGAGTTTCCTATATTCTAATCAATACGTTCATGTCGGTTTCAGTAGTGTCTTGTAAAGTTTAGTTTATTTTTTCTTGATAATGATTTGTGTAGTAGTCCTCGTTTGATTAATTACTGTCTTTTTAGTTTGTGTATATCGGCTCGATGTTAGACGTAAGTCGAGATGAAACCCAAGGTATCATACACAGTACAGTTTTAGTGATTGATTATTGAGAAATAATTGTATTGTGGGTTCAGTATTTAAAAGAATGTGGTACATATACTCCATTCCGCCAGAACTCCATTCAACTATTAGCTGCACATGTGACTAAGCACCTCTGAAGAACTTGCGGGTTCAATATCACAAAGTTAGTACAGCTGTGTTGTCAGTTATAAGTTTGGAACACCAAAGGCCGTTTAAAAAAAAAAATATTTACTTTAAAACAGAGAAGATTACAGAACAGAAATGCGAGAGAATCGTCAGAAAGATGTCGTACGTCCGAAGAACGGAGAGAAATACTTGCTGTTAAAGATAAGCGCCGGGTTTATATGAACTCGTAATGCAGAGTCAGCTGGGGTAGTTCCTTCAACTCTTAACTCTCGGCGAGGGGAGTGGAGAGTGTAGTCGGGATATCTGAGGTGTATATGAAGTATAGGATTGGTCCGACCACCCTGCCCTGCAGCACCCCCACTCACAGAGGTCAATATTCTAAGTAGTCCGAGTAGAATACAATTCAATTTCGTCAAAGGCAATTTTAAATAGATAACCTAGTATCTCTGCCCGTTTACTTTTTTCGGGTAGTAAAAAATTATTTAATCGTTACTAAACAGGAAAAAGATTTTATAAAACTTATTAATAATCTACTAAACTCGTTAGCACATTTAGCAAAGGAAAAAGGCAAAAGGTATTTTACGTACATTCCTGCCACCTTTCCTCATCTTACATGATATAATGATTGCGTAAATACCTTTATAGTATTATTTATTTATATTATGTATTTATTGAACAAGAGAAATTCACTATTGCTATTTCTGTATATTAGTTTTCATTGTTAAAATAATTCAATTTTTCGTTACCAAATTAAGTTCAACTTGGAAATAAGTTCATTCAAGTTGGACTACCTACGATTTCTCAAGCATCTTTTTCCACCACGCATCTCTAAGATTTCGGGGGAAATTTAGAGGCGTCGAGATAAGTGTCAACTGTTGGAAGGTAAAATAATGGATCTCGCGGTGACAACGATGAATCTTCATAAGTTATCAACATTTTCCTTCCAAGCGTCGACCCATAAAAAAAGAATAGGGCGAAATAAATTTCCAACCACGCGATTGTATGTTTTACCCCTCCACCCACTACACTTCCCTCCCGATAATATTTTATTGCTTTTCGTAAACGACCTTTCAAAATAAACGCCTCTCTTGTATTTGCATCATTTTTCATACATATTACAATTTCATACGCCTCCTGAACCGGAAATTCAACCGTACAAATAATTTAAAACATGATGTGGGCTTTATGGTATATTGATGTAATCATGTTTTCTCAACCGGCGCCATTATATTGTCATAAAAACTGATTGAAACTATATCTCCATGAAAATCGAGTAAAACGTTGAGCCATTTCTCAATAGAAAAATAGTGAATATAAATTACAGAAACATTTTGTCGTCCTGATTGCATTTTTCTTAAAATTATGAACTATCTACAATAATTCTTTTAAACAATAACCCCTTAATAACCACAAATCCATCATCCTCCAATAGACCAATAAGCCTCTTTCCTAATTTATCCAAATCTTAGAATCAATCATTTCAGTGTGGCACTCCGGTCTCATTTTAAGCTAAAAAATTATCCTCCTTCATAACTACTATCACGACCTGAACTCCTTCTCTGAGACCAGTTTAAATAGAAAATCAGCTTAGTTTGTTCCCGCATCATGCAAATCTAGCGTTCCTTGGTCCAACCAGTCTTCCACGCTGTTGACAAACACACACATTTTAACCCAGAAATCACAACCTACATGGAAACTAGGGCGATCCTATCCGCACGTTCCGACTCTTCACTAGCAACAGAAGCCATCCAAAAACAACTAGACCTCATTATCGACCGGTGAACATTGCATACTAAGTTAAACGAGCAAACAAGCCAATACGAGACGACAGACCTGCCCACGAGAACACACAAACAAGGTTAATCCCTCCATCTAATCAAGTCCTCTACTTTACTTGGATAGCAGGCCTACATGGAACCCACATTCAAGACTAAAGAGACACGATGTCAACCAAGTATATGAACATCTCGGAAGTCTGCTCTAAGCACATCTAACTAACAGCTTAGACCAATTTAGTTTTACGTAGTTGAGCGGATCTCGAGACTGTCTATTCTAACCCTATCCTATTCCCAACTATGCAAATTCCGGCACTGGCTAGCTCCTCTCCTCACTGCCCATGGTCTGATAGATCAATCAGTATCGGACTGTATTTTTGGCTCGACGAATATTTCTGTACAATTATCAAAAAAAAATTTAAAAGATTTGATGATATTTGAAAACATTTATCACTATAGAAAATTTGACGAGTGTTGCATGGTTTATTAATTATTAATTTTAATACTATTCAACATGTTATGACGAGATCTTGTTTTTTAATTTAATTGTTGGTTTTTTTAGGAACGGAGAAGCACATCTGTCCAGCGGTACTCATCGATACAGGTCTAATAACCAAGGACTATACCAGGCTGAATTAGATGTCAGGAAGGAAAAAAGGACTCACAAATACCTTGGAACTATCGCTACCATCTTTGCTATCTGCATGTGCCCGCTCATGATATTGAGGTAATATTAGTTAAATTTTTAAAAAAATTAATCCGATTTCGAACTTTTCAGTAAAAAAAAATTAATCCAATGTCGAAGAGTTTTCCCCATAACCGCGGTGCACTTCATAGTTAAAAGAAATATTAGAATTTCCAACCGCGATTAGGAAATTACTAGACTTCATGTGGCTCATTATCTTTCGTCATCATGCATGAGAAAATATCTCTCCTCCAAATTAAATTGAACGTATGATAGCACATTAGCAATCTACTTATCTACTTAGTCTCTTAACGTATTCTATTAATCCGATAAAAACAACAAACTTTTCATCAATGAATTACTTACTTTTGCAGTCCATCTCCCTCGTGAAAAACGGCATTACTAAATAATCAGTTTAAGCACATACTCGAGATTTGCTTTTAATCTTGTTGATAAAGGTTTACATAAATGTTTCCCTACTAAAAGTTTTATTTAGCGTTATGGATTATGTCAAAACATGCAATTTAATTATTACGCTTTAATAATAAAAAATTAAATATTTTTATTCAGATTTTGAAGTAGCCCAATGATATCCGATTTAAAAAAAAATATGAATATTATTTGGGTGTTCAGCTATTGTCAAAAACAAATGTCCAGTGACGGTACATCTATAGTGGATTACAATGCCGTAAACTTCGTGGTTTTATCTTAATGCTTACAAAAGCTGTGATTTGTTTGTGTGTTTATTTAAAAAAACACGTTTCTTTACATAAAACCTGCATTTTCTCCACGCTAACGTAACTTTTCCATGTGACCCTATATTTTAGATTTACCACCTAATTTCCTTTTAGATGAGTCCACTTTTGCTCTAAATAAATAAATCACTGTTCATACATCATGAAATTTGAAATGGTAATTTTGGATCAGCTTCTTTAAACCGTACCTCCCTTACATTACCTTTTTTAAATGTCAAACCAGCCAAAAGGTTCAACGTTTCTCCAACAGTTTATTCGAAACTTCGATTACTTGTTTATTTCTTTTGCTTTTTCTTTTATCTTCAATTTCAGTTGGAAGTTGGAAAAACGTTTTCGGAGACGTATCCTGAGAATTAAGTGCATGGCTCAAGATTAATAATTAGAACATGCATTCTGAAATAATTTATTATTAAAGAAACAAACTGTTTTTCAGAATTCAAAATTAACACATTTTAAAAGAACAAACTTCTTACGTTTGATAAAAAAAAAGAATGTGAGCCAAACAGTTAAAAAAAAGTTAGATAGTTAAAAATTGCCGTAGAGGCAATGAGAAAGGGAGCGAGATTTTGATCTAGAAAGAAAGGACATTTTGAAAACCAAACAAAATAGCAGGTTAACTTTTTTTGTCTCACCTTCTTTTTTACCAAACGTAAGAAGTTTGTTCTTTCAAAATGTGTTAATATTATTCTGAAGAACAGTGTGTTTCTTTACTAATAAATTATATAACGTAAGGGAACAAGTGTTTAAAGAGTGTTTCATGATGTTTGGGCTGTTATTTTTTTAAGTAGACTGGCAATTTTAAGTACACAAGTGGAATAATCTAAAAGGAAATTCGTTGCTAAATCTAAACAGGGTGTCAAAAGTTGGGAAAAGTTAGGTTAGAAAGGAGAAAATTTAAGTTTTATGTAAACAAACATATTTTTCTTAAATAAAAACAAAAAATCGTAACTTTTACGACTTTCTACTCCACTTTAGATGTACTGTCACCGAAAAATTGTTTACCACTCTCTATTAAAAATATTTATGCAATCAATTTTTTTTAACCGCCGGGTTGCCGGTTTTGGAAATAAATGCAGGGCCGCTGGATTAGGACCCGGAACCTTTACCTTGTTGTGATGAGCGGCCACGGATACCTACAATTTAACCTGTTAAATTATGTTAAGTTATTGTGTTATTATTATTGTGCGAATACACATGAGCCAACGTTTCAATATTTTCAACCACCATGATAGCAGTAGATAGCGTTACTAAAAAACATTAAGTGATTTTTTTAAAGCCAAAAATAAGTAAATAGGCAGGATTGTTCGATTGTTTGTTTGAAAGTGCGTCTGATGGAAGTGAAATTTATAGCAAATTGTTTCTGTCTTTCTAATGCCTGTATTATCGCTTCTATTATAAGCAACTAATATTTTACCACCAAACCCTAACCTTCAATGTGTTTACAAAATTGCATACTGTCACACAGGTTAGCACATCCCAGACCGCGCTATTATTTCTATTTCGAAACGAATAGCACACATGAATCACAAAAATTTACGCCTGTTATTTCTCATTTAATTAAATTATTCGTAGAGAAATAATAAATTAGCCTTGAATAACTCCCAGCTTAGCTACAAGGAAAATCCATTGAATAAGATTTCAATTTGTCCCGCTTTCGCCATCTTTTTACGATGCTTTCTTCCTCACTCTAATTTGTTTCTTCCTTTTTGATTCATTTGTGAAAACTCCCATTACGCGCAACCAAAACGTGACTTTAGGAAAAAGTTTACGAAGTAGCACACTGGCACAACGGTCTGCAGAGTTTAGGAAATTATTACAATTTGGACGTCGTCTATACATCCATTATATTTAGTGAACCATATTATGACCAAATTACTTCTTTCAATTAATTAATCGGGGACCGCGGTAGCCGAGTGGTTAGCATGACAGACTCTCACGCCGCGGTCGTCGGTTCGATTCCCACCGTCGCCTCTGGCCCTTTTTTCACGATAACCCCCCCAATTTGAACACGCATATAAGAATTGTCACCATGGCTAATATGCATAGATCATAACGCAAAAAAAAAAAATTAATTAATCTTTTTAGGTAAGGTTTTGGTTGAAGTGAAAAAGCTAGTGCCACGAGCGGGAATCGAACCCACAACATTCGGTTCAATACGCCGCTGCTCTAACCACTTGAACTATCGTGACTTCCATCCACTCGGACGTTTGTAAAATGGTAAATGAGTAAGAGTTGGTGTCCGAGGAGATCGAAGTCGCTAGCTCAAGTGGTTAGAACAGCGGCAATATTGAGTCGAAGGTCGTGGGTTCGAATCCCGCTCGTGACACTAACTTTTTCATTTCACCAAGACCTTGCATAAAAAGATTAATTATTTGTGTGTGCGCGCGCGCGTGTGTATGTGTGCGCGTACGTGTGTGTGTGTATTATTTTAGCAATTTTGGTGCTCATGTTTGTTGTGCAATCAATATTTTACCATCATTTGAAATTACAGTCCTGAATTATACATCAACATTTTATTTAATTAATATTTCAAGTCACTTTTAATTCACTTTTAATTTTTTCCATATCAGTTTAAATCAAAAGCCATAAATCAATCAAAAGGGGTTCGTGTTTCAAACAATCATCCATTCAATATATTGACATTTTTATAACAAAAGGAAAATTCCTGTCATAGAGGAGGGCTTAACGTCCAACTACGTTGTTGACATTTCTGCATTACCAGATACATATAACTTTGCATGGGCTTGGAGAAAACAATCTTTGAGATGCTAAATATCAAGCACTGCGCTCAATTGACTTCAAGATAGTTTATACAGTATCAAACGTATGCTTTTAACCTGGCACTAACTTAAAGGAGTTAATCGCCCTTTAACGTTTAGCAATAATAATTCAATTACGTCTCGCTAATATGCTTCAGCTTTTGGTTAATTGTCTCCCAAAGCCGGGATTAATCCCGAGTTAATTGCCGATTAAAACGATATTGTATGGTGCACCTGATGATTCATTTCACTTTCAAAATCAAATGATTATAAAATATCTAAAAATGAGATTAATACTATAAACATAAAAGTTTTATCTCATTTTTCATTAATAAAATTATCATAAATTGCGAAACAAGTAGAGTCGGAACATGAAAGTAAACCGTTTGAAATTAACAGAAACGTTCAATTAAACTTGAATCATGTTGGCTAAAATCGCCCATTTAAGCCGTGCTTAAGTAATTAATACTCTTTTTAAGATAATGACTTACCCTGTACAAATAATGGCATGAAATCATGATTTTTTGTCAATAATACGGATGTAGTAACAGTTATGTATTTGCTGGAGGATCTGAAGTTAACAATTCTGTATTCAATTTGATCTTATTTTCAAAGAAGCCGTTCATATAAAAATGTCGTTCTATCCCGACTTCCTTCCCCACCCCTTCAAAATCCAACGTAAAACAGCAATATATCGCTGGCACTCTCAACACGACACACAAGAATGTCACAATTACGCAGAAAACAAACACTTTGAGTGAGTAGCAATACTTTGATTGAATATAAAATTTCTATCAATGTATTTGTATAATTTAAACAATGTTTGTAAATTCCCGGCCCTGAAGATGATCTCAATAAAGATCGAAACGTTGGCACGATAAAGAAAATGTTTTTCTAAAACCTACGGATGCTGGGGGTTTTTAGGGGTGGTTTTAGCCTGCATTCCAGGGCACGTCGGACTGGAGGGGAACGACAGAACGGACCTGGCCGCGAAGGCGGGTACTCTCGTTCCTCTCAGTGATGATGTTGAGACCACCCCGATACGGACTGACGACGTTAAGAGAGTAGTGAAAAATATGATATTAGAAAAGTAGAAGCGTCGTTGGGCCGACTCGACTGACGCGCAGGTGTCCGTCAAGCTGATGGTCAACCGGAGGGGATATCTCGAAGGGAAAGCGTTGTCCTGACCCGCCTGACGATGGATCACACATGTGCGACTCATGGGTACCTGTTGGTCGGTGCTAGTCGACCCAGGTGCCCAGCATGCCAAGATAACAGACTCACGGTGTCTCACGTGTCGGAGGGGTGTCGCAGCCTGCCCCCGTATAGGGACCGAAATGGAATACCGCCGGATTATAGGAGAATGCTCGAGGATGGCAGCGAGTTTAAAGAAAAACTTTTTAGATTTGTGAGAGATATTAGGATAATGGGTTGCATATAGTGGGGTATTTATTTCATTGGTTAAAGTTTAGCTTAAGTTTATGTTAGAATAGGAGTATGATGGGTTGCGGTGCAGCATATCATTTCAAGGCTCCACCGCTTCTCCGCCAAGCCGGGTCGGGGTGGAATATCGAGAACCCTCCGGATATGAGGATAGGATATGACTAGTTTTAGGGAACGAAAGGGCGCCCAAATGACCAAAGAAGTAGTTGGCGCCCCATCAGAGCCAAACCACGGAGTCGCTCAGGCACCAAGGTGGGTGACCCCCAGATCCATCGGGGAGAGGCCAGAGGCCTCCTACGAGGTCTCGTAATTCTAATTCTAATTCTAAAACCTACGTCACACCAGACCACATCTCACGATCTTAGACTCATTGACTAACGGTCACTAAACACCACACACTTATGTTTAAATGTTGGACCAATAAGAACACCTAATATATTTGGATTCGTATTTACATTAGAAGAAATCAATCTGCTATGTGAAACTTAGAAAAGGAAACTTGAAATCGTAATCTTTAAAAGAACAAGATAAAGAACTTGTCAAAGAACCGTTCAAAGACTTTTTCACAATAATAAATAACAATTCATTTGGTTAATCATCTTTATTCGTTTGATTTTAGAGTTGCGAAGTTGGCACTAGTCGAGACGTATGACAACAGCGGCCATTTTGATATCACATACACTATGTTCGTGTGGATCGCATTTCTTCCGACAGCAACCACCCCAGCCCTCTACGCTGCATGGAGAATGAGCAGGTAATACAAATAAGGTTATTTATATTTTAATAACAATCGCGTATAGAATGTTTTAAACAATAAAATGGCTTCCCTATCTAAAAATCTAAAGCGGTTTTAATTCAAACCCAACTAACCTAATTTTAATTACTCTTCGCAAAGAAACATTTTCATTAGGCTTAATTTGCTCTGGGAGTTAGTTGGAATCACTGGACGAGAAGGGAGTGCTGAAAAGTTCAACAAGTTCTGTTCTTCCCTACAGACTGTGAATTGGAAAGGGTTGACATTGAAGCCCTGGTCTACCTTTTTTTATAATTATTCGATGCGTTCCAAACAAGCCGAATAGGAATAATCCAGGAAAGTAATCAATTTTCAAGTTAAAACAAAGTAAATTGAATAATAGCCACCCCAGAACAGGGGAGAAAAGTTAAAAACAATTGTGAAGTGGTAATTACTAGCTTGAGATAATAGAGTAATTTGATCTCCCTCTCTCTCTCCCCTCTCTCTCTCTCTCTCTCTCTCTCTCTCTCTCTCTCTCNATCATCCAACACAATATATTCTGTAATGGGAGCATATTAAAAATTATTTCTACTACAGACTTTCTTTCTTTTTTCTTTCTTTTTTCTTTCTTTTTTTCTTTCTCTCTCTCTCTCTCTCTCTCTCTCTCTCTCTCTCTCTCTCTCTCTCTCGTTTCATGTAACTTTAATGTTATTTGTTCTTGACCATATATGGTTTCCCTTATTTCCAATTAATTAAATTTCAAATATTCAGAATTTTCAACCATTAAATCACCACTTCAAACTTTAAATGACTTTTTATTGAAGAGGTTTAAAATTCCAAATTAAATAAGACAAATTATGTAAAGTTAAAGTACATAAAATAATTCGTTTACGTCTCTCTCTCTCTTCTCTCTCTCGCATTACCGAAAACGAAAAATATTACATTGGTTTTTTTTAAACATCCGGAACTTTCAATAATTTAAGTAAATTGTCGGAAAAGCCCAATGGAATTGTCCGGATCGTCGATCGTTTTCCATATGCCGCGAGCCTTTATTGCTCTTGCCCAGTTATTCATGTGCGGTAACCAGATTAATTACACTATATGACTTTTTCACTTTCAAAAGCTGTTAAAACCACCAACACGTTGTATTCTGTACATATGCTGCACTGAGTTGTATTGATTTGAATTTGAATTGGAACTCATTATCGTTCTATTTTTCCGATCTCAGCGGTTTCTCCATTCTTATTTTACAACATTCGAAACTAATGGCCTTAAATCCGCTGTTCGTTCAGGATGGGACCTCTTTGGCCGCCTGTCTTCTTGTTCGTTCCCGGCCCTAAGTGGCCAGAAACACACGCCAACACGACCTTCCTCCCATCTGTCTCGATCCCCTTTAATTGCTGTTTTATTTTGTTGCTTGAGGGTCTTCTCCGGACCGCACTGAACGAGTCGGTACATAATAAAAAGGATTTATCGGATTGACTTTTTATGATGTTCACTGCGTGGGATATGGTGTTTAGTTCCGCCGTATACAATTTGTTTATTTCTTCTTCTGTATACTCGGCACACCCTCTGCCATTTTGGACCTGTCTGCAAAGACATGTCTGGCATCTCTGTATTCTTCTTTAAGTCCTTCAAACATGACTTTATCTCCATAGTGGGGTGTCTCGTTTTTCTTTAATTTTTCCAAATCACACCGTACGGCGAAGGATCGTTTCAGCTAGCTTTTCTGCCTCCACCTACCTCCTCTAATAACCCCCGCGCCTCTAATAGTTCCTTGGTTTTTATAGCCAGCGGGCCTCGTACGGGTCTTCACGAAGGCGTATCTTTCTCTGGAGTTAGGGTCCAAAAGGGTCTTATACTTTTAAATCTGTTGTTAATGTTGTATTCTGTTCTCATAATGTAAATTATGTATTGTATTTTTTAATTATTTACTTATTAAAAAGTAAAACTGGTTTACACGACAGAGTGAAAATTAGCAAAACATTGATGTTATATTTTTCTTTGAACAAGGCCATTAGGTTATCTATGAAAAAAAGAGGTCGTGTGACAGGTTTTGTCGAGTTAAAAGGTTTATCGATTAAATTGCACCCTATCAATTATGTGTCTCAAAAGCTTCATTTTTATCATCACAATGGCAGTTTTATTACAAAAAACAATACCTCGTTTACCTCTTAAACCGTTTTTCAGCGTCGAACTATATCATACTTTAATAAATCCATTCAAAAGAAATATTAAAACAATATGAATTTTTTACTTAATTTTGAGAATGCAAATTAAATTATAAGAGTTAAATCTTTTTTATACAAGTGGATGTTTGTTCTTTTACAAATAATAATTTCGTAGTATTAAAGAATCAAGTATCAGAAATCAGAATCTGTAGTAATTTCAGAAAATAAAGTGATATTTCTGGAATGCACTGCAATGAAAAGGCCATATCCTTGAACTTTTAATAATGTGAATATACGCTGGTCGATATTTACTCATCTCGCGATAATTACTTTCATTATTAATATCAGATTAAGCTGTATTACATTTTCACATTTTTGGCGTTGCAAAATATACATAAACTTTAATTACGCCCCGGATACATTCGCACAAAAAAATCCGGTTGTAGCAATACTTTCTAAGGAAAAAACCACTGATTGGTACCCCGGACTTTCCTGGTAGGAAGCGAAATAATAAAGATTACTTCGAACTAGACAACCTGGATTCCAGGTGTTCGAAGATATTTATTGTTCGACACGGCTTACTACGCCTTTGTCCTTGATTCAGACCATTTAGACAATTAAGAAGCAAGGTAGTCAAGGGAGAATCAAGTTCCCCAGCGATATTGTCGAGAGAACAAGGGGGCTAAATTGGCCATGTCCATAGCGACTATGCGAATATGAAGTCCCATCGATCCTCTTCAAAAATATATGTGTGCAATATATTTTCAGCTTGATACAGATCTCTTCGATTTGGTCATCTCACATTTTCATCTTTCCGCCACGTTTAACGAACAAACTATATTTTCCCGTCTACCTGTATATGATATACATAAATCTGTATCCAACAGTATGTCCAGAGTGTATTTTGTTTATATTTCGCTCAACCACAAATAATAATAATAATAAAATCAATTATATTGAGTGGTCAAAATTACTTCTTTCAATTAATGACATTAAATAGTTTTTGTTGAAATGAAAAAGTTAGTGTCACGAGCGGGATTCGAACCCACGACCTTCGGCTAATTATGCCGCTGTTCAAACCACTTGGGCTATCGTGAATTCGATCCACTCGGACACCAACTCCCCATCTCAACCTACAACCTTTGTAATATTCAGTCTTTTTTGCTATTTTTCAAATGTCGTGTAAAAATCCATATGACTAAAAGTACAACTATTTTTTTTTTTTTGTTCTGTCTAGCTCCTTTTTTTACCTGTCTAATGTAGAAGATTGGAACCCTATATAGATTAGCTGCAGGTCGATCAACGAACATCGTATAATTGTCTATATTAATTATTCCAATTTATTATTTTTTTTATCTAAGGTTTTTCGTTGAGTTGGAAAATTAGTGTCACCAGCAGGATTCGAACCCACGACCTTCGGCTCATTACGCCGCTGCTCAAACCACTTGAGCTATCGTGACTTCGATCCACTCGGATACCAACTCCCCATCTTAACCTACAACCTTTGTAACATTCAGTCTTTTTTCTATTTTTCAAATGTCTTGTAATCTATTCGATTCTCGGCGACTCATGAAGTGGCCACGGGGAGCTGTTAGTGAAGTTATACTTCGTTTTACTTATTAAATCCATTATATTTAGTGGTCTATTTCTTTCTATTAATTATTCTTTTTATGTGAGGTTTTGCTTGAAAAATGGCAAAAAGAGAGAAAATTCGATAGGTATATCCGATCGAAAGGTATTTTATATTTACTTTTTCATTTCAACCAAAACCTCACATAAAAGGAATAATTAATAATAATAATAATTTCGTACAATCGTTGTAATCTTTCTGAAATTTAAATAACAATTGAGAAACTTGGCTTTAATAGGTTTCTCTGTCATTTACTTTATTTATATAAATAATAAATTATACATTCCTTAGTACTGAAACTGTTACCAATTAATGTTAAACCAGCAAGGTGGTACACTAAATAAGTTATCGTTTGTCCTGAATTAAAATTTTTATAGCGCCAATTAACGTTGGTCTCATTTACATAGCATGGTCTGAAAGTTCATACGGTTTGAATTCCACTGTAATAAATTTTAGATGAATTTAAATTAGGCCAGTCCCTTTGCCTGGCCGGGTTTTAATAATTTTATCTTTGCGTCTTTCTAGGGAATAGTTTTTCGGCAGTTTGTACAAAATCGGATTAGACGTGTCTTAATATTCCTTGAAATATTATATTTTAGGGTTATAAAATAATTATTCCAGAATTGTATTAAAAATGATTACAGTTTTACAACCTCCCCTTTTCACAATGAAATAGGGGTAGACGAAATAACAGCGGTTAGACCAAGCAACTTGGAAAAAACAAGGGTTAATGTTTTCTCCTTTTACTACCCGCTATTTTACCTTGGAGTAAATTATGTTTTAACAAAAAAAAATAAGACATACTACACTTCTAAACATCAAAATAAATTAAAAAAATAATAATGAACTGTTTTATTGGGTGAAAAAAACATAGAACATTCGTTGTGAAATGCACATATTACTTTAAAATTGGGGTCGACGTGTTGTTTGCTCTCTCTAAGCAAAAACTCTGCAACCGGCCCTTTTCAGTTTTATTGCAATACCTTATCAGAGCAGGCTCGTCAGTAGTGAATATAACTAAGCGCACGTGGTGAAATAAACCCAAAATTCAGCTTGGAAACGTAAATGTACTTTTTTTACAACTTTTTGATATCGTTTTTAGGTTTTTCGCATTTTCACTCTATATGAATACTAACAGTGTCAAAAATTACGCCATCTTTACATTCTTTTTTGCGTAAGGAGAGAGGAAACGGTAAATGGATCAACAATGTAATGCATGAAAGT